TGATTGTACTATTTTTTAAAAATTTTTTAACGTTTATTTATTTTTGAGAGAGTGACAGAGCACGAGTCGGGGAGGGACAGAGAGAGGAGAGGGAGACACAGAATCCAAAGCAGGCTCCAGGCTCTGAGCTGTCAGCACAGACCCCAACGCAAGGCCCAAACCCACGAACTGTGAGATTATGACCTGATCTGAAGTTGGACACTTAACCAACTGAGCCACCCAGGCGCCCCTCCTTGATTGTACTTTAACTGTTATATAAAAGAAATCATTTCCCAATCCAAGATCATGAAGATTTATACCTTTATATTCTCCTAAGATTTTTAATTTTAGCTGCTGCATTTAGGTCTTTGATCCATTTTGTTTTAATTTTTGTATACAGTCTGAGATAAGGGTATAAATTCATTCTTTCCCGTATGGATATCCAACTGTCCCAGCACTGTTTCTCAGAAAGACTATTCTTTCTCCATTGAATTGTGTTGGCATCCTGTTGACAATCAGTTGACGATAGATGTATGGATTTATATATGGACTGTAAATTTTGTTCAGGTGATCTCTATGTCTGTCAGTACCACAGTCTTGATTACTGTAGCTTTGTAATAAGTTTTGAAATTGGAAAGTGTGAATTTTATAACACTGTTCCTTTTCAACATTGTTTGGACTATTCTGGGTCCCTTGCATTTCCTGTGAACTGTAGAGTAAGATTGCCAATTTCTATCTAAAACAAAAACAACAACTGGAATTTATGTAAGGATTGCACTGAATCTTTAGATAAATATGGGGAGCATTTTTATTTTAACAGTATAAAGTTTTCCAGTCCATGGATGTGAGATTGTCATTGCATTTATATGGGTAGTCTAATTTCTGTCAGTAGTCTTTTACGGTTTTCAGTGTATGTGTCACACTTCTTTTGTTATGTTTATTTTGAAGTATTTCATTCTTTTTGATGCTATTGTAAACACCATTTTTTAAGTTTTATTTTGGATTATTAATTGCTAACATATTGAAATAGAGCTGATTTTTGTATATTGATCTTGTATCCAGCAACCTTGCTCAACTTGTTTATTAGTACTAATGGTGTGTGTGTGTGTGTGTGTGTTAACTCCTTAAGATTTTCTATACAGGGTTGTGACACCTGTAAATAGAGATCGTTTTACTTCTTTTTTTCCCAGTCTGATATCTTTTATTACTTTTTGTTGCCTGATTGCCCTGGCTAGAATCTTCAATACAACGTTATTAGAAGTGGCAACAGTGAACATTCCTGTTTTATTCCTTGTCTCAAGAGGGAAACTTTAAGTCTTTTATCATTAAGTATGATGTTAACTGTGGGGTTTTTGCAAGTGTTTCTTATCAGGTCGAGGAAGTTCCCCTCTATTGTTAGTTTGTTTAATGTTTTTGCATGAAATGTTGGATTTTGTTAAATGCTATTTTTCTGTGTCAGTTGATCATGTGTTTTTTACTTTATGCTGCCAATATGGTATACTACATTATGTTACATATATACATTTTTGTATGTTGAACCAACCTTGCATTTTTGGGATAGTTTCCACTCAATTATGATATATAATCCTTTGTATAGGCAGCTAGATTGAGTTTGCTAATATTTTGTTAAGGATTTGTGTGTCTCTATTCATAAAGGTATTAGTCTGTAGTTTTCTTACGATGTCTGTGTCTGGTTTGGGTTCCAGGAAAATTCTGGGCTCATAGAATGAACTGGTATAATTTCTTTCTTAAGTATTTGACAGACTTCACACGGAAACCTGTCTGGGCCCAGGGCGTTCTATTTTGAAAGCTTACAAATTATTTGTTCAGTTTCTTTAATAGATGTCCTATTCAGATTATCTATTTCTCTGATTTTTATGAGGGGATGTGGAAAGATTTTTTAAAAAGTTCTGTGCCATTCTCTTGCTGCCAGAAGCTCCTAATAGTTTTATTTTCTGCCCTTTTCACCTTAAATTGAGATGCCTATCTTACTATGGTTTGATTTTGCTTTTTAACTTAATCCGATAGTTTCTGTCTTTTAATTAGGAAATTAAACCTATTTAGATTTAGTAACTGGTATGCTTTGCTTTTGCGCCTCCCATTTCATTTATGCTTATTATTTATTTTACTTTGGTTTTTTTCTCTTTCCTTTTCTGTTTTCTTATTTTTCTTGATTCACTCAAATGGCTCTTAATTCCCTGTGCCTCCTTCTTACCTCCTTGTTTTAGTGTTTCTTATGCTTTGCAGTGTGTTTACGTATTCTCCATCTTCCTAATAATTATTATTTAAATTCTATTTTTGTTAGCTTATATTTGTAAATCTTTACTTTTCCATAAAAATGCTTCACTTATTAAAGCTTATTTTTAGACAGAGGGAGAAGGAGCACATGCACGTACATGCACACGAGCAGGGGAAGGGCAGAGAGGGAGGGACAAGAATCCCAAGCAGTTTCCATGCTTTCAGCGCAGAGAGACTTTCTGTCTATGGATTTACCTATTCTAGGTACCTCATTTGGTGGAGTTACACGATATTTGTTCATTGTTTCTGGCTTATTTCTCTTAGCATAATGTTTTCAAGGTTCATCCATGTTGTGACACGTATGAGAATTTCCTTTTTAAGGCTAGATAATGATTGTATGTGTATACTAGATTTTATTTATCTGTTCATCTGTTGATAGACATCTGGGTCATTTTCACCTTTTGGCTATCGTGAATGACATTGCTATAAACATTGACGTGTAAATATCTGTTTGAATCACTGTTTTCAGTTCTTTCGTTTATATGCCCTGAGGTGGCGTTGCTGGATCACCTGGTAATTCAACAGGTAACTTTCTGAGGAATTTCCCCGGTATTTTCCACAGTAACCGCCCTATTTTAATTCCCACCAGGAAGCACCAGGATTCTAATTCTCACCAACACTACTTTCCTCTTTTAGAGAATAGTAGCCGTCCTGTTTGGTGTAAAGTTACATCTCATTGTGGTCTTGATTTGTATTTCCCTAATGATGAGTGATGCTAAACATGTTTTCATGTACTAATTGACCATCTGTATATCTTCTTTGGGGGAATGTCTAATTATTTATGTGTTCTGGATATTAGTAAGATATCAAAGTTTAGAAAGACTTTTTTTTCTTATTTCTTAATCTAGAATGTACAAGAATATCTTTACTTTCCCTGGAAAGATGACAAATGATGGTGAAGAATTTGTCGGTAATTCAAATTTACGTGCCACTTCTGTTTTAAAGTCAGAAGTGAAAATGGAAGCAGATATTAATGAGGTGAGTGGTCTTTGAAAAATATGAGCACAGATTTTTAATGTAAAATGAATAAGTTTTGTAATTAAAAATGTGATTCATGATTATTCACAATTGTTTGCGCACCACACACACATACACGTCCCTCCCACTGTAGAAAGCTGTAATGACACTTATCTCAGTTGGTTCATTTGTTCATGCGTTATTGAGTACTTACTATACACCGGTCACTGGGCTCGGTTCTGAAATTCACCAGCGGGTGGAACGAATTCCCTGATCTCTTGGAGCTTATGTTCTGCACCAGGAGAGACAGGGACTGAAGTGATGAGTGCAGTGAGGAAGCACAAAGGTAGATAAGGCAATGCGGAGTGCTGCCGTATGCTGCTTTCACACTGGACTGGTGCGGGAGGGCCACCCTATCTAAAGTAGCAGTTACCCCCTCCACCCCCACTATTGTCTACCTTTGACTCTTTTTTTTTTTTTTTTTTTT